AAGATCAACGTAATCAGCTTATTCGTGGACGAGCTTTCCATAAGTATAACCGGCTACACTCTCTTGAACTTCATCTCACAGTGGGGTGCAGTGCTTGGGTCTTTGACCCTGGGATGTCTTGACCGATTTGAGCCCCTCGCATGAATCATGTATATTGTGAGGCACCCCAGTTATGCGCCTGCAGATAGAAGCACTCTTGATGTAAAATCACTAACTTTGTCTTCCCATCCTTCTCCCAATTGAGTTTATACTAGAGAGATTTCAGCTTCCCCCACCCCTCTTTCTTTCTTTTATCTCTTTTCTTTTAAGGTAAGGAGGGGCTACAATATTGAATATCAGACTTTATGATCGAAGAGCTGTCAGAAAGCCATCGAAAGGACATAAAGAAAGAAAGGGAAACAATGGGTTTGGAAAGCCCCACTATGGCAAGCCACGAAAGTCTGAATAGCCTCAGGCGATGTATCTGAGGCAACTGGGACTCGGATCTATTCGATTTGGCTCAGTGGCTTTCCGTGCCTTTCCATCCATAGGAATCATTAAATTAAATCGAGTTAAGTAGAGGAGAACGAAGAAACTGAGCGTTACTGAAACGAGAATGGCAGCGGGTGCTTGCTTTCGTAGGCTTAGCAGACCGCCTCTAGCGTCTGAACCAGTGAGCAAAGCCCACGATGGCCCCCGTCCCTCGGCGCGATCAGGGCCAGCCTCCACATTATTATTATCATTATTCAACATGTTCAGTCGCAGCAGCCGAAGTAACGTCATGGTATGACCTCAGGTCTCAGGAACCCCACCAGTCCCGCTCCTGCCCGGATAGTATCATAGTGGAAAATCGAGCTCTGATAGGTGAATACTTTGGAAACAGACATGGGTTTCTGTTGATTTCATCCCCTTTGGAATCGCCGGTGGATTGAATGGGGGTCACTGCCTTCCCAGCTTAGTATTCACTGTCCTTCGAAAGCTCTCTTTCCAAAACTACTTAAAGATTGTGGGCAGCCCGTTGATGTTTGCCACTTGCGTCCTACTTTATCCCGGTCCAATCCACTCCAACGATTCGTTCCCTTCCCACTTAACCCAAACAGCTCCCATTTGACTTTCTTTACGGCTACTTTACCCACTTCATCTCACTTCATCTCTCCTCAAGCAGACTTCGTGCAAAACCTCAACTATCCATATATTCTGATACGATTCCCTACAACCTTCTAGACCAAAAAGTCTCTTAGCTCAGCTGTCACCATGCCTAAGGTTAGTCTTCTGTTGTTCTCTACCTTGCATGAAATCATGGATCTACAGAGTTGCTGACCGCGCTACCATTGCTGCAGATCACGGGAATCTTCTTCGACTGTGACAATACCCTTGTCCTGTCGGAAGAGCTGGCCTTCGAAGCATGCGCGGATCTTGCTAACGAGATTCTTGAGAAGCGCAACATCCCTGATCGCTATACCGGTGGGCAGCTGATTCAGGACTTCGTTGGTCAGAACTTCCGCGGGATGATGATTTCTCTTCAAGCCAAGTACAAGTTCGAGATGTCCAAGGAAGAGCTTGAGGAGTACGTGATAAAGGAAGAGGATGAGGTCATCGGCAAGCTCAACAAAAAAGCACAGCCTTGCGTTGGTGCCAACGAGCAGCTGAAGAAGATCTTCGAGTCCAAGAAGTATGACCTTGCTGTCGTCTCCTCCTCCGCCCTGCGCCGTGTCAAAGCCTCCATCAAGAAGGTTGGACAGGACATATACTTCGATGACAACCGCATCTTCAGCGCTGCTAGCTCCCTTCCCAAGCCCACTTCCAAGCCTGATCCTGCTATCTACCTACATGCCCTTGAGGTGTGCAAGAAGAAGCCCGAAGAAGTGGTTGCCATTGAGGACAGCAAGTCTGGTGCTTTGAGTGCCATCCGCGCCGGTATCCCCGTCATTGGTTACGTCGGCAGCTACCCTGGTGATGACAAGAAGCTTGAGATGTCCCAGCGTCTGAAGGAACTCGGTGCTAAGGTGATCATGAAGGACTGGATCGAGTTCGAAAAGTGCCTTGGGGAGATCGAAGAAGCTTAAACCGACTTTAGATGTTCTGCATCCAACTCGATTGTTTTTTCCCACACGAAGTTATGACAGCAAACGCCTGGTCGTTAGGGAGCCACTGGATTGGGTTCCTTTCTTTCGCCTTTCCAATTTATGAGAAGTTTTCTTGCTCGAAGCGGTGGTCAGGACCCCACTTGCAAGACTGCATCTTTCCTTTCGATGGGACTCGGGCGTATGGGCATAGCTCTTCCGCCATGGGTCTGATCTTCACACTTTATTTCGAATACCCCAAATTTCTGACTCGGCCGGGGCTCGTGCATCGCACTCGACATTCAAGCATAGACGGGTTTTCATGGACACAAAGAGATGCCTATCGGTTTATGTAGTCTGTATTTGCACAATAGATGCTTACTCTCAATTATCTGAGACTTTCAAAACCTCTTTGCTCCTTTGGAGTCGAATATGGGCTCTGCTGATGGCTCATGTTGTAGATTGTAGTCCTACTACACCGACGAGCCCTCCACGCTTCCGTCCGAGAGGCAAGCCCGCTGGAGATGGCATTGAGTAGCGAGAGCCAGTCGCTAATCATTTCACATCAGAGCAATTGTTTGCAAAAGACCCATTCGAGCGCAGGTTCTATGGCGCACTACGTTCAGATGCCTGTAGATACGTTCGACTTTGAAAACTAGAATCATATGCTAATGCAAGGAAGACCCACATGTGGCCCAAGAAGATGCGCATTCTTTGACCTATCCAGGAGTAGTCAGGTGAGCTTCGACACGTATCCAGGCATCGAACTCGATTTCGATGGTTGGTAGAACACATGACTGTGGCCGTACGCCATTAGAGCTATCGCGGAGAGCACTTGCATGAGGTCTTGCATGGACCTTGATTCCAACTGCGGGTCTCAACCGGTTTACATTGGAACGAAAGATCGGCAGACGCGAACTCACAGAGAGAGCTTTGTTGTCTTGGTCAGAAGGACAGCAAGTGCATACTGCACTCTAAGCCCTGCAAGTTATGCCTGCAGGCTAGCATTTGTATATAATCTCAGACAGGATATCATAAATGCATGTTACACTGGACAGCATCTACAGAAGCCTCGCCTGGTTGTCCCAGCAGATATGCATCTTAGACGCAAGGGGGATAGGTCTAGACAGATGCTGCTTGAATACAAGGCAAGATAGAGGGGTATTTTCATGTGTCAAAATGTTGTTGATTATTATCTTGTTACCCCGCATTGCATTAGTTTATAGCTAGGGCGTGGCTCTTTGCCTCCACTGCTCTCACAAAGCTAGAGCTTGTGCACTGCTGCTTCTGATGTCAGTGGATTCCATCCTTGCCTCCATTATTGCCCTTCCCAAAGGCGATGTTTGCAGGTGGGCCGTGAGAAATAAAATGACAGAAGGATAAATGAACCGTGGAGGTGCCGAGACGCCGCTTTAAAACAGACTTTAATGTGTAAGACAATATGCCTATAATTTATTGCAGACCAACTCATAGCACATACGACCATAGGGTGTGGAAAACAGGGCTTCCCGTCCGCTCAGCCGTACTTAAGCCACACGCCGGCCGGTTAGTAGTTGGGTGGGTGACCACCAGCGAATCCCGGCTGTTGTATGTTTTTTGCTCACCCACTTTTTTTAAGATTTGGTGGGTTGGTAGTAGCGCCCTTGCCGCCCTGTTCTCGCCCTCTTCACCTAAACCACCTGAACCTGAATATTCCTTACTTAGTACCCCACCCAACCCCTGTTCCTACTGACATGTCCTCAATTATCATCTAGCAGGTTCAATCTATCTACAGAGTACTGCGCAAAAACATCTTCCCTTTAAGCATACGGAGTACAATGGGCATGATTTTATAAACTATAAAAGAAGACCAACCCCCTTATTCTAAGCCTCCACTTGTCTGAATACAGTGTGCAGAGAGGAAAGGAGGCAATGCAGTTTTCTCTTGTTTGCACAAGACATTTGGTATCCAAGATGGTCTTTTTGAAGCTCAAAACATCATGGAGTAGTAACCCGGCCGGTACATAGATACCAAGCTGCGCTAATCCTGTTTTGTACCAAACTTGTTTAGACTGCAGTCGACAAAAAATCATCAGAGCTTCAACCTAGACTAGTCCTCGAGTTGCATAACTCAGTGTACTCCATGGTGGTAGAGTTATTTGCTCGCCCCTGGAGCAACTCCAATTAAGGATTTGGGCATGCCTTTTCTATATGTATATTGCTTAATCAGCTATATGAAAGGACGCTCTTCAATAGCAACACTTTCATTATATAAGGCATACCAGTCCCATCCTTCTGGGTATGGATCTTTCTTATCCATTTGTAGCAGCTGTTATGGATAGGAGTTTGTTGACAGACACTGAACTCTAGCTTACTTGAGAGCGGAACTTAAAGTATAAGGGTACTGTAAAAGTTTATATTAACCAGATAGTTGCCCATCCATCCATATCTTAAGGACTGGATCCCAAGAATGTTGAAAGGTTGTGTAAATTTTTAGTTGCAACTGTTATTAATAACTAGATGTTTGTAACCATGTCACTGCTGTCATCTCTAGGTAGTACCTAGAGATGGTTCTCATATCTGCAGGGGTGAGTATGACCACTCTGATAACTAATCCACCTAATTAATATCCCCTGCTTGATTTTCTATTGGGCAGGTGTAGTGCCTTCATGGCCAGCACTGTCTGAAGGAGCAGAGGAACTGCTACCACCAAGTGATCAATGGTGGACAGTTGATCTTTACCTTGATGGTGGGGCAATGACTTGAAGAGTTCATGAGAATTTCTGATGCGCATCTCCCTAGCATCAAGCTACCACCTTAATCAGGAAATTATACCCGCATCGCAATACAGCACTCCAGCCTTTATTACCTGTACCTGATATATATAATTGAATCAGCCAAGCGCCTGGAAAAATTCGGGGGTCGGCGGCTGCTATATTGGCTTATAAAACATTTAAACATGATCTCCTCAACAAGTTAGGTTGTGTAGTGTAATGGTTCATCACTCCAGATTCTGATTCTGGCAATCCTGGTTCGATTCCGGGCACGACCTTTTCTTTGTCATTTATAATTTTTTGTGCACTCCCATCTGGCATAGATCTGAACCGAATGCTCTGCGTTTCAGATTTCAAACCTAGGGCTCCTTTGCTGCCTTTTCAAACTAGACATAGGATCTAGCTACCTTATCATGCCGCTGGATACTGAATGGCACTTGACCGTGCTACTATCCCTATCTCGTACTCGATGTAGTCGAATTGAGCATTCAGGAATACCTGCCACTAATCCAGCTTCGCTTAGTTTGATCTTTTCTTTTGTGCAGGATAGGTATATGAAGTCAATCAGCGCGCGGCTGTTCAACACACCAGGTTGTGTAGTGTAATGGTTCATCACTCCAGATTCTGATTCTGGCAATCCTGGTTCGATTCCGGGCACGACCTTTTTTTGTCTTGGTTGAAGTTTTTTGAGGGCTTTTTCACTGGTCCGGAAGTGTCCCACCTGCTCAGATAGCCTCAAAGAGATGTTTTGTGTTTGTCAAAAACCCTGATGGTAGACCCTCATGAATCATAAGACCTGGAGTTTGTCCTCAACAAATCAGGTTGTGTAGTGTAATGGTTCATCACTCCAGATTCTGATTCTGGCAATCCTGGTTCGATTCCGGGCACGACCTCTCTTTTTTCTTCTGTTAAAATTATTGGCACCTGCAGATAGCTAAGCACACCTAGCACTCAAGTTATGAATTCCCAATGTTCTACTAACCAAGTTCACCTAAATTTTTCATATGACCGCGTGATGTACAGTATGGGTTATCTGATTGGGTACAAAGCTCTCAAGGTCGTACGTGGCATGATACAAGAAAAGTGTTGAGAGTGTACATGGAAATCTGACCAAGACACCCGGGGCTCTGCTGTGTGTTGACTCACTTGTGAAGTAAGTGGAATCTCCTTACCAGCGATCTGGCTAAGCATACCTCCAGCCTGTAATACGTACGTATATGGCGGAAGCTTTATACCAGTAGATCATCAAAGAAGTATGTATTGAATGCAGATAGTCCAATTCCTGTCAGCGCGTTCTCTAGATGCATTTCGTGCGCTCTCATCGCTTTCTAGTCTTCCAACGTTTTTTGGATGCAGGGTGGACATTGTTTCATCCCTACAATTCAGGAATTCCTCTTCACAGGAATACTGTTCGTGTATGGCTCATCCGCAAACAAGTGCTCATTATTGCATCCTAAACGAGTAGGTCAGCAAGATTACTACCTCGCCATCGGTAGTCGTGGCCTAGACCTATGTACCCTGTGTGGGAGGGAGAGCTTTGTCACACAAAAAAAGGTTGAAATGACAACGAGGTGCTGTAGGGACAATTTACAATGCTGAAATTGCAAGATGTTAACACTCATATGAGGAAAAAAGGTCGTGCCCGGAATCGAACCAGGATTGCCAGAATCAGAATCTGGAGTGATGAACCATTACACTACACAACCTAAGTTGGTTAGTCATTGGCAAATTTAGACTTGATATAGAAGAAACTTGATTGAAACTCGAAGGAAGAATGTGTTGGAGTCTACTCGAGGTTTAGGAGAAGGTTTGTTGAATCGTGAGGTCGGGCATGAGCCGAAGAAACCCCCTTGAGACATCCAAATGCTATATTTAGCCAGATGAGACCAACTCCTAATACTGAAAACCCTATAAATTCCGGCTAGAGCATTGGCATACACGTCAGTCGATCCGGTGTCAGATCACAAGCCTATGATAGAGACTTCGTTTGATACCTTGTACAAGTCAGTACTTCATAAGGGCCCACCTAGCATGATGAAGGAGAGAGCGTAAATCTCTCGTGTTGAGGTTCAATAAGCCCTAGGGTTTGAACGACAGATATTGTAGATTGCTCTTTGGATCGTTGCTAGACATTTGTTGAACAAGTCTTCGTAGATCTTTAAAAATGACATATATGACACTACGAAGCGGGCCAACGACAAGCTCCACTCTCTAGCTTCTAAACCAATGCTGCCCAGAGAATGGCTGATTCTTACTAGTAAATCGGCCATGACTACCATTCAACTTTCAGGCTAAGGTTGTAGTTATTAGCCACATGACACATCACAAGGTCGCATAAATTATTTGTGAGTCCATAGATCATATGTCATCATGTCTGAACATGAATGTAGGTAGATTTATGTGCTCTTCCAAGGCACCTGATCATATCGGCAAAGTCAGAATGTTCGACTTGTGGGGAAGAGCCTGAACCGTTTGCTAGTTGAGAGTCGACAGACCTCTGCAGCGGTCTCTTAACCGCTTCAACTACGCTGAAATCAAGCGTTCAATACATGGATTGCAAGAATTAGTGACTTGAGGAGGCAGGGGTCATCGAGAGCATCGTTCTAAGAGACGGTCAAGCTCGTGCCATTGATGATGGTCGAATGTGTGGGCCAACTGCTAACTGCCATCTCAGGACACGGGAACAAACGGAATTAGTTTGTGTCGCAGTATATTTTAGGTCATTTCAACAAATCAGGTTGTGTAGTGTAATGGTTCATCACTCCAGATTCTGATTCTGGCAATCCTGGTTCGATTCCGGGCACGACCTTTTTTTTTTCCCAAAAAAGAAGTGTCTTTTTGTTGTACTTCTAGTCATGACTGCACTTTCATCACTTGTGTTACCACATTATTGACATAATCTTTGTTGATAAAGGAGAATGATCTGCACCGGGCTGCTTGGATATTGATGTTTACTACCACTCCATGCGTTGCATCAATCATAGTGTAATCAGAAAGTGAGGTGACTTGCCATAAACTTGCTAGCACCTAGCAGGTCTACATCAAAAGCTTACGCGTTGCTTCCACTCAAGATGCTTGACCAACAATGAGTGCTTGGAGCTGGATGAACTCTTATGGAGCACTAGCTACGGTAATTGACATGCTCATTGCCAAGGAAGTTGGCTAAGGTAGCCCCCGTTCATTGCTTGACTGTGGCGTGTCTATTGAGTCCGGTATAGGAAAGTTGACAAGCCACCTGAAGGTTCCCTCTCAGTTGATCATTCTGTGATATCTTGGTTTGAGAGCCTTCTAATCTCCTCAAGCTGCGCGATTCGGATAGTAATGTGGCTGTTCGAGAAGTACACATCTGCTCGTCGTGGGTATTGTGTCAGATCGCACCCCTTCTGCTTGAACCGGCTCCATGTGCGACTAAGGCTTTCGCTCGTTATGTGTTGGACAGAATTATCCACAGGCTTGAAGTTTCCTTTACGCCGACAACTCGGACATGTAAATTGACGGACTACGATTGTTGGTGCTGGATGAATGGTCCACCTTGGAGCGTCATCCGTCAGAGTACCTTCACATCCTTTATTTTGGCATATAACCTCAACCGTTGCTGGGAGACCTCCAAGCTCACTTTGACCGTGACGAAGAAAGTACTTCTCCCATGGAGCACCCCCGCGGACGCGAGGATTCGGAATTCTCTCCAGTGTATCAGTCAGTGCACGCACGTAGTTTTGACCTTTTGCCAGAGGGTGGAGAAGGATATTACCACCTTTGCAGTTAATGAGCCCGCAGCCAGTTTTAGAACTTCTCACAACGTAATAATTGAGGTTGTTCATAGCGTAATACGCGGTAGAGTCGTCCAAAACTCTCCCTCCACAGGCGGAACACACTCGGGACACAATATCTCTGGGCGGTGCTCCGAGGACCATCAAATCCAGGACGCTGGCCCTTGGTGTTCGACGAATAGCCCAACCGTATGCAATCAGGATAGAGAAGGCAAGGCCAATAATACTCAGACATTCTGGATTGCCCTTACAGTGGAGAAGGCGATAAGCAGTCTCAGCTGCTTTGCGTGAATTTATTGGGCGCTGGTCTACCCGAAGGCCTTCTTGAGCTTGGATCATCTCAAGTAAGCTCTTTGGGAGCTCATCCCAGGCATAAAGCTCCTCCTCACATGATTCAATCGTTGCAATTATCTGCTGACACTGGTGCTTGTCTGCAAGATCGAGGGATACTCCAGGCGTAAGCATAACAGCTAGATCGTGTAGATCTCTCCAAAACTGGGCAACTTTTCGGAGACGAGCTTCTTGCTAAGCAATATTAGAACCAAAAGTAGCGGCTGATGGGGCTTGTAAGAGAGCCGTCTTACAATATACTTCTCGTTGGCAGGATCAAAACTGGCTATGGCATCAGTCGTCTTCGGCGTGTGTTCAACCACTGGCAGCTGGGTGTCCCATACTTCAGTGTCGTCGGCTTTAGATAGGCCAATCGGCCTCGCCACTGAAGTAAATAAAGCCATCGTCCCTGGAAAGGCTGATTTGAGCTCAGCGTAGGCCTTGCCTTTCCAGGCGTCTCTCTGCTCTCGAACTGCTTTTGCTGGTCGGAATGGTTGAAGCAGTACGGAACTTAGCCTGTAGAAGCCTGACTTGATGGTAATACCCCCAAGTAAAGAAGCTACTTCCAAGAGTAGATCCTGTCTGCCTCCTTGCTCTGTTCGAAACGCTTGAGCCCGAACGTTGGTCCCTTTCATGAACATGAAGAATTGCGGGTGGTTGGCAAAGATAATGAACCGCTTGACGGATTCCTGATCATCTGCAAGCTCTAAGTACAGATCCACACCTTGGTAACGGCCCCAGAGGGGTAAGATCCGTAGGTTTTTCTGAAGATGCCTGAGCATTCGTTCCCGTACATTCGCTCCCCAGCAAATCTCCACAACAGCTTTCATGTGGGAGCGCAAGATGAACACAAATCTGTCGTGGATTTCCCAAAGATCAGGGGGATAGAGAATTTTGCAATGCCTGCTGTCTTCTCTCCGAGCCGAATGGTCGAACATGAAACAATTTTCAGAGGTAAAGCCAACGTGATGGAGTTGTGCAATGCATGGATTTGACGGGTCGTCCGTTTCACCGAGACAAGGATCATCTACTACAAACGTTGGATTGTACAAATGACATGCAACTGGAGCATCAAGACGGCCTGATGGGCGGACGAGGTACTCGAGAGATCGACGAGTATTGTGTGATTTCCACCAAGTGTCTTCTTCTTCTCGATAGGCTTCGAACGCCTCATCCAT